AGTCTTAGTCACTCACCAAAGACTGGATTTAGTTAAAGTCACATTTTAGTCTTTTAGTTTTGTTTTGTTTTAGTTAAAATTTAGTCAGTGCAGTGTTCAACATAACATTTTTTCCCCCACTGGCCCCCCGGGCCAGTAGTTCGGAGTTTTACTGCAGGGTTCAACACTAAGTTTTTTGTTTTTTTTTCACTTGCCCGGCCGGGCAAGTTGGTCAGAGATCTGCTTGCCCGAAGTCAGTTTTTACTTGCCCTATAAAAATTGTTTAATTTAAGCGGCTATCAAATAACAAAGACTGCAGTTATTTTTATGTTATCTTTATTCACATTGTATTTATTAATTAAAATAACATATGTCGTGTATTGTAGCTTAATTCCTACACAAAAATGACAGTGTCATGGCTTAAAGTGAAAAATTTGTCAATCGTTCTCCATCTATAATTTTGCGCCCTACTTGAGCCATGCCCACCTCTATTTATTTTTCACCCCTCTCTCCAGTTCTGCTGTATTAACACCTGGTTTAATATATTTTGCTTCCATCTCTCTGCCCTGCTCTACTCTACTTCAACACTATTTAGCTCTCTCTCTCTACTCTACCAGTAGACTACCACATCCACCTGTTGCACAAAACGCACACAGCAGTGTTTCCCCTAGGATGGAGTTGTAGCAGCAGATGTGAAGCACACGCATGAAAAATAATTTTCACATGCGTGAAACTTTTTTGTATGCTTGCAAAGCACAGCCTGCTGGGATGTTTCTATGTATCTACTGGCACCAGAAGGGCTCTTTAGGACTAAGTACATACAGTACATGTGTGCACAGTAATGAGCAGGTGAAATGTCTGTCTAGCTTACATATGAGGTGTCTCAAGATTTAGGAACATACAATTTTATTCAATATAATAAAAGTAAAAAGTCACATGACATGCTGCTGTTTTGTGCTATGACCTATTTAAGTGTTGGAAGTTGTTATTTACGTGACAACACCTGAACGCAACACAAGCTCAGTATGAGTGCCGTGCTACGCTGCTGTGCAAGCAGCTGTTTGTCTGTGCCTAACAGCAGTCTCTTGTTGGTTATTTACACAGTGTCCATAACAATAACTTTGTCAGCTGATAAACTGCACCGGGCTCGGGGTCAGGTTTGGTCAGGAAAATGCGGCCCGAGCCGCTCTAGCATGCTCACCTGTGTGTGTGTGGCGGAACTCCGCCATGCACGATACAGAGAGCAGAGGAGAATTGTTAATGCGTGACCATGTAGAGACAGAAATGACACGATGTCATAACACCATAAATAGTATATTGTTATGTTATTATATGAAGCGTCCGTCGCGCAAAATAATATCAATGGGGGCTGTTGGCAGGACATTGTTACACAGCTGTGCCTGTGACTTCAGGCAGAGAGACCGCTGCATCAGAGCCGAAGGACCACATTTTAAAATACATTTATTTTATCAATTAGTTATTAACTTTTACTATTTTTAGCAACTTGCCCGATTGGGCAAGTGAGTTGTTAGTTTACATGCCCGACCTTGAGTTTTACTTGCCCCGGGCAATCGGGCAGTCGTTATTGTTGAGCCCTGTACTGGCCCCTTGTGTATTCTTACTGGCCCAAGTAAAAAAAAAAAGAGAGAGAGAGAGAGAGAAAGAAAAAATGTTTATAAAACTTCATTTAATTTAACTTCATTTCATTTAACTCCATTATACCTCACCGTAGTGCGTGATGGTCTATATTCAGCACAGCCTCTGTCCACTTATTAGATGACCTCACAACAGGTTTACAGAGCTTTAACTTCTGCCTCTATGAGGAAATCAGGTGGACGGTGTTGTGGTCAGAGTGGCCCAGTGCAGCGCAGGAGAAAGGGTGATAGGCTTTGTTAACAGTTGTGTAACAGTGATCCAGAATATTCTTCTCTCTGGTCGGACATTTTATAAACTGTTTGTATTTGGGGAGTTCATGTGTGAGGTTACCTTTGTTAAAGTCGCCAAGGACAGTAACTAAGGAGCCTGGGTAAAGTCCGCTCTACACACAGCAGCTATCTGGTCAGCGAGCGTGCACTGTAGCCTACCTTCTGCACGTTGGCCTGCGGTGGGATGTAAACACCGACCAGAATGAATGAAACAAACTCACGGGGGGAGTAAAAAGGTTTGCAGTTGATGAAAAAAGATTCCAGATCAGGAGAACAGTGCTGCTGGATCACTGTCACATCATTACACCAGCCACTGTTAGTGTAAAAACAGATACCTCCACCTTTAGTTTTGCTGGAGAGTTCCATGTTACGATCCACTCTAAAGAGTTGGATGACTTACAACCTGCAAGAATTAAGCTCCAATCCAATCCTCCTCTCCTATCATAACAGCTTAACTGTTGTGCCCATTTTAATTTACTATTTTCTTACAAGGGCATCAAAACCTAGCCAACACATTTAATCATATGCCCATTTTAATTCAGTGTCTGTTAATAGTAGGACCACCAGGATTACAGCGCCCCTCCAAGGGCTGCAACGGTCAGACTATAGAATAGGACTGACAACCTCTCCAATGTCTCATGTCAATTAATTAACACTATTTGTCGGCTTTTTATAATGCCGTTTTTTTTGTTTGTTTGTTTGTTTTGTTTTTTACATGCTGCGCCGTGTCTCCAGTTGAAAGTTGTGATTTGCTAAATACATTCTACAATAATAAATTAGATTAACTTTTGGTCTATAATATTGTTGGCTAAATTACACATTTTAATAAAAATAACTTAAGAATAAAAGAAATAAACACCGAAATAATTAGTGGAAACTTTTTTTATTGATACTCCTCCTCTCTGACATACTAACACACACACACGCACACACACTGAACACGCGATTGAATAAATGAATGAACATTGGGTGCGGTTCAGCCGCAGTCCTGCCGGCTGGCGTGGTCACTGTTGAGACTACATTTGTTTTTTATTATTAACAAAATGTTTTTTTTATTGACCGTATGAATGGTTTCGTTTTCAAATAAATATTTGGAAACAAAAATGTATGCTTTGGTCTACTTTTACAGAGTTTTACAGGCGTTGTTGTTCCCGGCTTCCCGTTGTGGAGGCAAGGCTTCTGTGTGGCAAAACTGGACGTGCACCGCCATCGCGCGGAGGGCGGGGGGAGGTCATCCAATCAGAAAGATAAACTGAGAGTTTGAATTTGAGTTAAGATAATTAATTGGTTAAAAAGGACAACAATCAAGGCATTAAGGATGGTTGTAATCCAGATTGTCCAGCTGGCCAGCGTCAGCTTTTTTTTTCATGTTTTTACTCGTCACTTCATAATGAACAGAGATTTCGTTTTAGTTTTTGTTGTCAGTACTTATTAAATTTACGTTCTCATCACAAATTAGTCACGGAATAAAGGGTTGTCAAAATTAACACTGGTTGCTAATGGCTAAGGTTAGCCTACTGTAGCGTAGCCTCTGAAACACTAACAGTATCTTCCTTGTGCGTTTCTACTTACTAGTAACGTTAACGCTACTATGTAACGTTACCACTGTAACCTTATTCTAAAACTCATCAGTCATCACTGACTCCGGTTGAGTTTTAAAATTCCGGGGTTGTGTTTGACTGTGTTGGTTGTAAGGTTAATGCTCTCCTCCTCCGTGTGAAGCAAATTTATACTTCTGTTGAATCGACGCCATAGCTATGGCGTAGGCTCCACATCTACGTAGAGCCTGTGCAGCAGCCTGACGTGCGCCTCCCTGGAATTGTAACTACGCGTCGCAGTGACGCAGACCTCCTTTCTGTTTATGTATACTGACACCTTTTTCCTCAGTGGAAACGATCGAAGCTTGTATTTACTTGTATTTCACAGATAAGAAACAATAAATTGTGAAGACAGTAAAGCCTCCACTAAAATAACATAAGTCTTGTGTGTGATTTATCATTTAGGGATTTATACTTCGGGATTGATCCGGGATTCATATGAACAGAGAAAATCTCCACTTGTCAGGCTAATTTATACAATGTAAAATGCCATAGGCTTGTGTTAATAATGTTAGCATGTTGTATTTGTTTGGAAAGCATGTTTAGTGTGACAGTTGTTTTGTCGGTGAATATTGTGAGTTGTAATGGAGCCAAATTGAGTGCCATTACCATTGTTAAATGTTGCTGTTGTCCCTGGTTTCAAATGAGAAGATGAAAGATCGCTAGCTGCTAGGCTAATTTATACAACGTAAAATGCCATAGGCTTGTGCTAATAACGTTAGCATGTTGTATTTGTGGGGAAAATGTGTCCAGATAAAGACAAGTGTTTGTCTGCCAATGCTGCGATTTATAGTGAAGCTGATTTGCATACTTGTGTTTTCAGATTGTCTCTATTAAGCCACATTTAATGTGTTAATGTGTGTTTTGAATCAACTAAACTTTACAGAACTTAACAGAAACCTCCTCTGCCATCTAGCATTTTGGAGGTGTAACTGCAGAGTGACACAGACACACCACCGCAGAAGTAAAAATGCTCACAACAGCGGAGGCGACGTGCGTAGGGTCTACGCACAACCATAAGTCCTCTAACGTTACCTTGCCAAAGCCTACATCTGTATTGAGGATGTAATGGAGGAGGGGGGAGTAGGCCTTTGGAGGGAGGTGGAGTTGCAGGAGGAGGGGGGTGGGACTTCGGAGGGAGGCGCGAGTTGTGGATGTTCAAATTTTTTCTAAGTGCTGTGTGAAATGCAAGAAAGGTGAGAGTTGCTTTAATGTTTTGGGCTGATCACTTTATATTTTTATCTTAGCTATTTCTCAGTTTGAAGTCATAGTTGGAGGGTTGGTTCACCAAAATAGTGATAGTAGTCCACAAAAAATGACATCTACTCATTGTCTTGGTTTAATAAATCTGCTTTTTCCACTGTCACATTCAGACAGAATCTACCAGGTAAACTTGAAGTTGAACTGTATCTCAGGCATTTGTTAAGCCAGGGGTAAGTTTGCATGTTTAACATTTCCAGGTGAGGTTTTGTGACTAATGGCAGGGTTTCTTTTACAGTTATGCCAAGTATAGCATGATGATGGCTTCTGCTGGAACATGTAGACAAAAGCCAGCGGCACCATCAAGACCTGGACGTGTAGCAGCTGCAAGGTGAGCAGTCACAACCTTTCCTTTTTTTTCCACACACACACAAACAAAACACCTTTGTGTGGCATCGTTCTGCATGACTCTGGCTTGTACATTGGATCACATTATATTTTACAGGTTTTCATGTTGTGTTACCCTCATAGGTGTAAGATAGTTAATATTCACAACTTCTGAATTGTCAGGAAATTAATTTCAACATGTGTCTGCAGAGGTAAACAGCACCAGCAAGATGATGATAAACTTGAATTTACATTTCAGTAGCTTTATATGTCTGTCAGTACTATACCGACTTCCCTGAGATACATTTTCACCCTCTTACCTTAATTAATGTCCTCTTTGTAATTTGTCATTTTCAGTTTTGTGGAGATGGAGGTCACCATGGAGGAGGAGGAGGAGGAGGAGGAGGAAAGCAACCGTGTGAAGAACAGACTGTAATTTTATTATTAATTATACAGGATATACTCCGTATCTGAATTTCTGCTTCTGCGGCTCATTTGATTCTGATATGTGAGTTTCTTTTAAATGTAACAGATCTGACTTGGAGAGTGATATGGAAAGCACCACAGAATCGACTGAGCTGAGTGCTCCAGGAGCTGATAACAGCTGTGATGGAGACGTCTACGTACCAGTAATGCCTCAGAGGTACCTGTTTGTCTTTGATGAAGCCTCATTTTTAAGAGTCAAGAGCTTGAAGTGAATTGTGTGTACTCTGAATATAATGAATAGAACAAGCTTTTTCCCCTTTTAGATGACACCTTTATATTAGAGTCACAGCCAATAGCATGAAGTTTTTGTGTCCATATGTTTTGTGTGAATGGAAACGGAGATATGCATGCTGGCATATATTGTACCATAAGCCCCTTTTAAACTACCAGATTTTCGGCGAATGTTGGGCTGTTTTGCCGGCAAGCTGTGAGCATTTAGACGCACAGAGCCGGATTGGCGAGTTGATGCGAGGTGCCAAATTTTCCGCCTCGTAGGGTAGTCACATTGGCAGAACCCTTTTAGTTTAAAAAGACTGAGGCGGCTTTCAGCAACAGGAGGGGCTGTTGATGACTTGTGGGAGGGGCTATTGATAACGCTGCACGTGCGAGCCACTGGCGGTGGTGGTAGCAAGAGGGAAATGCAAACCTGACAGACACTGTAAAGATGAGCAACTGGGGAGACAATAACTTGAGCGCCCTCCTTGCCGTTGCAAACAAAGAGGCCATCAACCGTTAAATGACGGGAACGGTGAAGGACGGGCAAACTTGTGAGAGAATCGCCGAAGGACTGAGCAGCTGCGGCATCCCTCGGAGTACATCACTGTTTACATCACGCGCTGAGCTACACATTTTGTTACTTGCTCATGTGCCCCATTGCCCTGAAAAAGGCGCATTCTGTATGAACAAAAGTAGGTAGGCGGCATTTCGCTGCACTCAGCGATTTTATTTATATACTGCCAATCCTGAAAGATGACTGCTTGGGCTTTCCTGCTAATTTGCACAATTCCTATTTAAAAAGGGCTTTTATTTCTGCCTCTACGGCTCATATGATTCAAATTTATATATATTTTTTATTTAACAGATCTGACTTGGAGAGTGATACGGAAAACGCCACAGAAACGACTGAGCTGAGTGCTCAGAGGTGCCTCAGAGGTACCTGTTTGTCTTTGATGAAGCCTCATTTTTAAGAGTAAAGATCTTGAAGTGAATTGTGTGTACTCTGAATATACTGAATAGAACAAACTTTTTCCCCTTTATAACTCTAATATAAAGGTGTCATCTAAAGACTTACATGTGGCCCACAGTTCTGACATGCAGAATCTACTTATGTTTCCTGTATTTCATCCCATCTGTCATTTAGTTTTGCTCAAATCTCATAGTGGAAGTATTAGTAGAGTGGAAAATTGGAGCAGCAGTACACTGAAAACCTTACAGATACACATGGATCTATTTTAGGTTGCACTGTCCAGAGCAATTTGTTTAGTAAAGCTACGCCTATGGGTTCAGGCAGGGGTGATACCAGTTCAGCCCTCTTGAAATGTACCACCATCTCTATATGCAACTATTTTTTTTTTAAATTCATCTTAGCACTTTAGAAACTACTAGGGATGCATTGAATATTCGGTAACCGAATATATTTGGCCGAATATTGCAAAAAAAAAAACAACACACATTCGGTATTTGGTGGAATAAGTGAAAAGCAAGGCCAAATAATAGCGACATGTTTTGATAATGCAATCAAACAGCTTGCAGTGACGGACGGAGTAAAATGTTGGCAGTGTGGCGATATTTTACTCCGTCCGTCACCGCACTCACATTTGTGACTAAAAATAGTTCTGTGCGAGCAAAATAAATCATTCAGCACGCTGTACAGATTTCAACCAGCAGCAGAAACAAAAGGCAAATCCCACCGGTTGTGGGTTGAACGGGGGGTCACAGACAAAGACAGGAATAGGTATTCCTGTCAAATACGGCGCAAGATAACGGCTTACCGGCGATGGAGAAGCCCGACTCCAATAATGTCCTCTTCTTGGCGTCATGACTGCCCAAAAGGACCTGGACAACCAAGCCGTGGCGGCACACAGGTATGTGACGTGTCAGAGGAGAAACGAGCCGTTCATATTTCTCTGTTAATGGTCCACAAACCTCACCACACTTTAGGGACTGTTCTTTACTTGTCAGAGGAGGAGGGTGGCTGGTTGATTTTTATTTTATTTATTTATTTTATTTTGATCCCCCCTATGTTAATCACTTATTGATGCTGTTTATTTGTTTAATTTATTCCATTGAAATATCATTGATGTATTATAGAAAAGTGATTTTTTTTTTTTTATAAATGACAAAAGGCACATCTGCCTAATTTTTGCTGTGGTATCGTGATACTACTCAGAACCATGATATTTTCACTGGTATCGTACCGTGGGTCCCAATTTTGGTACCGTGACAACACTAATCTGGAGGGGGTTCGCTTGCAAAACAAATGAAAAACTAAACAACGGTATTCGGTACTCGGTATTCGGCCAAGCTTTTTATTTTATTCGGCTTCGGCCACAAATTTTCATTTCGGTGCATCCCTAGAAACTACCTTTTATATTATTTGGCGCTACAGAGGCTTCATATCCAGTTCAATACACACACACTTGTCAGTAAAGCATATAAAAGGAGAGGAGAGGAGAGGGCTCCGTCTTATCTCTTCATCAACTAAAGTTATATTATTTTGAGTGACGGACGCTTCATATAATAACATAACATTAGACTATTTATTGTGTTATACGGTGAAACATTTCACCTTATAACATGATGACTTATATTGTTTACACAACGGCATGTCATTTCTGTCTCTACATGGTCACGCCTTACAATCCTCCTCCGCTCTCTGTATCGTGCATGTCAGAGTTCGGCCCTGATTCCTGCCCTGCTTCTGTCTCTCCGCCATTACGTCTTCTTTGTTGTTGAACGTGCTGCTGACTAACGAGCGTGACGTGCGTCATCGATGAAAAGATTTGGCGTAATGAAAAGAATCGATAAGGGAATCGTTAAGCATAAAGGCTAATGATGTCGATTAATTGAACCAGTTGGAAGCGGTTCTTAACAGGAACCGGTTCTCGATTCCCATCCATAGCTATAACTTTGTTCCAGAATGTTCCACCACTCAAACACCACACAAGTTTCCCCAAGTTACAAGAACAATGGATTGCAGGGTCATTCTGTTGTTTTCTGTTACAGTCACAAAACATCTGAACTTAAACTGGAGTGTGAAGAAGAGGAGCTGGAGCCATGGCAGAAACACACTTTACATGTTCGCTTGAAAGAAGAGCATGATGTTGGAGAGTTGAGTATGTCACACCAAATTACTGAAGAGGTTTTCAAACATCTCAGTACTGTAAAGTCTGCTAGTTCTTATTGTAAAAATTCTGTGTTGTTACAGTAATTATCCTCCACCCTTTTTTTAAATATACCCTGTTGGGTCCTAAAAGTAAAATTGCATGTAATGTATAATTTGGTCTTTTTGTATGTTCTTACAGGTGATGACAAAACAGATTGTAAACCAGATCCTTCGTCTCTTCAGAGCTGGGCAGCTGGTCAGCACACTGTGACACCTGAAGCCTGTGGCGCTTTCCACACTTTTGAGGGACATCTAATCAGCAGCAACCCTGTGTCCTTATCCAGTGTCCAGAGTCCTGAAGTATATTCAGCATCATCTGACAAACTGCAGTCAGACCAGTCCAACTCACAGACCCTCTCTGTACCTTTTCCTCCACCATGCCTTACTGCGATTAAACTTGAACCAAATGGAACATGAAACAATAAATAAACATAAGGGGAAGTTCACAAGTTACAATTACACACAATTTGTTGTCGAACATAAATGTGTCATATCTGATGCACAAATTGATAACTTGCAGATTATTTGCACATCTAAGTGTTGTCTCCTCCGACATGACAACAGTCTGGGGAACCCTGTTCAAAACACCCATTACCTCATTTTCCATGTCCACATAAAACAAATCAGTTTTGTAAAACTTTGGTACCAGTCTTTCGGTTATATACTACCTCATATGTACAGGTTTGTAATACAGTGTATAGTGAAATAAATTCTTAAATTAAAACCCATTTCCATGTAATTTATTGTTTCAATCAAATGAATGGTGTTGGTTCACAGTTTCTCTGATATATATCAGAGTTGAACCTGGACTCTATTTTAACATGCTCCTCTACCTTGTTCAGACCAAAGCAGCAGCCCTGAGAGGAAATGCATGTTTACTTTTGGATTTTATGAGTCACACCACCCATGTGACCTGGATGTGGTCAGAGGCAGTGCAGGTGAACTTGGGTCACTCTGTAGAGTACTGTATGCATCAATTACGGAGGGCAAACTCAACATGTTTTCTAGCCCTCACACCCGTAACTTCTGATCCTCTCTGTCACAAACATGCTCGAAGACCATTGTAGTTAAAGTGGACACATTAACTTATCACAGATTACATCATTTAAAAACATTTGACATCAAGGATCTACGCTACCGATATTGTCAATGCTGTTCTCAAAGTTGTAACTCACTGAAGCCTTACTGTACTTAACTACAGTTGTAGAGCCCAGTCTTGTTTGACCCAGTATCCAGTACACCCTGCCCCTGATAATCAGGTATGAACAACATGACTTGGGTGGGGAAAAGTACATGGACTATGTACACTATGTCACTTTTTGCTTTGGATGGGGAACTTTATCATAATGCTTTATGTGAGTTTTACTTTTGTCAGGAAGTGCTCAGCCTTCATATCCTTGACATGATGGATCTCTGTACACAGAGTGCAGATATGGCCTGGATAAACCCTGAAAATAAATGTGATAAAAACTGAAAAGTGAGTAGGGTGTTTCAAAAGGCATCTCGCTGATTCATAAATTAACAATTACATCAAAATAAAGAACAATATGGAAACCCACTAGATTGAGTATTCCTATTTTAGCAAAAATAATAAGTAGATAGGCTATGATAATCAAACAGCTACAGTTACAGGTACTGTCTCTGACAAGGGCCTTTGTGTGAGGTTTAAAGGTCCAGTGTGTAGGATTTAGTGGCAGTTAGTGGTGAGGTCTCAGAACTGAAACGTCTCCCATGAGCCAAGCGTGCGGGGTAGGATGCAATGCACTGAACCCCCAACTGCCCAGAGTGTCTGTCCATGGGCGGCCCCCTCACTCTGACATCTCTCCATTTAATACATGTATAGGTCCTGTTTGTGCATGTGCGTATTTCAGGCCTGTGTGTATATGACAGAGTGAAAACAATTGAATTTCTCCTCAGGGATTGATAAAGTATGTCTTCTTCTAAATGTTTTTGTCTCTTTTCTGATTTTGGTCTCCACTTTTACAAAGTATTTGCCTGTATTTTATTGTGTTGTATTATTGTTGTGTATTACTACATCTCAGTAATCCTTCACCTCTTGTTTAATTTCTAAAAGCCTAATAACCAAGGACAGGGGCTGCAAATTAGCCACGGCTAGAGACTTGTATGCATTGCATCTACTTTGCATTTTATTTTGTATTTTATATATGAATCAGTGTTTTATGCATTTGTCCCTGTCAAATAAACAACAAATAAATAAATAGATAAATAAATTTAATAATTAATTTAATAAACTTTTTTTGGAGGTGAATTAAATCAAATGTCAGAATCTAAGACTTTATAACATTTTCAGTCTTTAAACAGAATCAGTTTTACATGATTAATGAATTAATGGATTAAGTCATTAAACTCAAATTGACAGCACATCTCATTAGCCTGTAATCGACATCATTGACTTTAATAATGTCATAATGAAAAAGACTGCATAGGATAAAGCTGTCTGTTAATATGCTGCAGACTGAAGTGCACATCATTCAGTGTGATTGTGCTTTTTATTGTATTGTATTGGCAGTGCATATATTGAAGGTACGTATAATGTGTTACTGAAAAGGCAGTAACACCGTGGTATTTAACTGTAAAGAAAAAAACAGTTTCTCTAAAGCAAATCTATTAGGAGAGACCAGGAAGTACTACAAATACACAAAGGAAGTGATGGAAAGACATGATTGGTCCAGACAGTCCGACCACTTCCGCCGCTTTGGGCTAGCGATACACTTATCTCCCCGTCCTGTGTCAAGTAAACCTGGACTGTGTGAACTCTGTCTCCCTCAGACCAGCGACCAGACCCGGTTCTGCCTAGAGACCCAAAGGCTGAGAGGTAGGCTGAGACAGAGACCCTGAACACCACACTGTGAGGACGCCCAGATAATGTGGACATGCTAACAGAGCCTCACAGAGCTGTGCATGAAAGCAGGTGTTGTGTCGATTTGTGCCGAGATTTACATGCAGCCCGCGGGAGCGCGCACAGCATGACACCAAAACTACCGGACATTATAATGATTTCTACAGCAAATGAATGTTTAAAATAATATAATCCTCTTTTGTTGTTTGTTTGGTTGTGATAAATAATCTGAAAGCTATAGTGTACAAACGTTTGGAATCATTAGTGTTTTATCAGACTCAGTAGACGAAGCATTTCCTTGATTATTGGTCTGAAGTGTGCAATATTTCCTTGATTAATGTCTCGTATTTCTGAGGGTGAAATCTTTGGTGTTCATTTTCGGCACGTATTTAAGCATTTCAGACAGTTATACTATTAAACTAAACTGTTCAGCCAAAATGGACCCATACATGTGCTGACAGATGCATTTGATTCATAGATCTCCAGATATAAAGTTACAATGCACATTAATTATTCGGCAGATGTATTATTTATTACCTGCTGACATTTACATCCCCACCTTTCTCAGGTCAGGTGAGTGCTCTATGTAAATCACACTGTCTAGCCTAAACAGCCCAAGATATAGACAGTACAGGCAGTGTGGTTGCACTGGGGCCCATGAGGAGGGGGCCCCATAGAGAGAGTGGGCCCTCTGACAATGCATTGGATGGAGAATGGGCTTTAATGAGTGACTGCCACTTTGAAAATATGCCTGTGTTCGGGAAAGAGCTCTCATCAAATTGAAAACCATGTCATTTGCTATGTATTGTATGCCCGTGAAAAAGGCATTCCCATCTCTGTCATGTTTATTTTACAGATGACCAATGTCAAGAAGGGGCCAATGAAAAGGTCTATGGTTGACCCTTAAATGGGATCAAGTACAACAATTAACTTGCTGACAGTACAAGTATATATGTGTATATATATATATATATATATATATATGTATTTACATGATAAACAATTTCATAATTAAAACACATTTCAATGTGCCATCTGAGGGAAGTGAACTCCTGACCTTTTGATTGACACCTCACTTGAGCCAATAGAAACTTCCAGTGCTGTTGCTATGGCCTTGATAGCCAATACGAGGCACTTTTTTTTTTTTTTTTTTTTTTTTAAAGCACCAGGACAAAACCTTGAAAATGTGTTAAATGTTTATTTTTCTGTGATATTATTATCTACTTTGAATTTGGACTAGGTGAGGCTTCGTGATATGGCCCCATTGTGTTTTCAAGGCAAATCTTCAGGCAAAGATTTAAAAAAAAAAAAATCCCTACTATTTAAGCTACCTTAAACTTAAATAACTCAATGACAGAAGCACTTACAGTGATTCTGACTGTTGGGGGAAAAACCTCAGTGTTACCTGTTAGATGAGACCATGCATGTACATGTACTAAAAATGAAACAAGAACAGCTTATTATTTACTATGCATATACCCTTTATAGGTGTTTGAGGTGAATGTAGGTGACTCTTAAAGGACCACAAAGATATTTTAAAATAACTACATTGACCAAAATCTGAGGAACTATAAAAAGACATTGCTCCATAATTCCAGACAATGACTGATGCATTTGAGTTTGAGGAGTTTAGGACATCTCTGACTACAAACATACTGAAAATCAAACATTTTTATTGTATGTCTTGACAATAATTTTGTACACATTTCCAGGGAATGCAGCCAGTGGTGTTTGGTATATTTGGAAAACTTAAAAAATAAAGAAGTTCAGTTAAAATACAGGTCTACCTGACTTTTTTTGTCTCCCTTTACAGCTCCAATGCCCAGTTGTGTCCCGGTCAGTCCCAGGACGTCTGTGGTAATGCACTATGTCTATGTTAAACAATTCAAAATTAGGTTTTGGACCAAGCTGCATACAGCGACTGGACCCTTTTTCAAATATGTCAAGTCTCTCTCTTTATGTTTCAGGGTGGAGATGGCTCATAGAGGTAAGCCTCAGAGTTGCTAATCTAGAAGCATCAGCCTGGTGTGTATGAGAAAGATGGTATGGCACGCAAAATCCACACTCCCCTCTTTTTTATTACTGACTTGCTCTTTATTTGTTTGTTGTCACTCAACAAGAGAGAACAGAGATTCGAACGGAGCAAAGGGAAACTTTGAAATCGTTTTTTAAGGAGGGAATGACACGTGTTGGTTCACCCTTAATACCAAGAGCCGCATCAGCTACTGGTTTGGAAACCTGTGTCATAGAGGTGAGGTTGACTCTCATTCTACATATCAAAGTTTCTTACATCATTTTGCTGATTATAAATTTGTTAAAATGCACTTTAATTGATGTAAAACCATTTAAATATTTTTGTTTTCTCTTCCAGAACTGGATTGGAAACTACAGAAGGTCCTTTAAAGCTCCTTCTGAGCCGCGGCCCTCAAAGCCGAAGCTTCACACACGAGAGCTGTCGCCATACAATCTTTTTTGTAGGGACCTCCTTAGAAACAAAGGTAATAGACAGAATTTAACAGATGCTTTTAAGTCTTATATTGAAAGGTTTGTTGTTGTACATACTGGCCCTGTTTACATTAGGGCTTACAGGAGTCTTGAGAAAGATTTTCAGTATATTGTTTTTCACTCCCATGCATTCTGCTCAGAGTAATGGCAGTCTCTGGCTCTTCCACCAACAGCACGGGGTCTCTCCCTCTCCTCTTGTGCTGTGTTTATTGATATATTATGTATTTATCTCATTTTTACAGTTATTTTGTATGTTTTTAGTTGAAATATATTTGTGTTAAAAAAAATCCACTGTAAAAAGTCCAATAAATGCATGGGGTTTTCCAAAGTCAATGAGTAATCCTGTAAAATAATGGTGATCCCTGTATTGATCAAAATAGTCATGATTATTAGTTTTACCATAATCGAGCAGCCCCAGTATGAATGTTCTCTAAAGTGTTAAGCTTTCTCTCTCTCCTCTCCTTTTTCTTCAGGCACATTAAACGATATTAAGGGCAGGTGGTCGACATTAGGGGAAGACGAGAAGCAGAAATACTATCGAGAAGCAGCAGCACTGAGGTCACAAGGCCTGGCAGAGGACCTCAGCCCCGAGATGAGGGAGCTCAAAATTAAAAAGCACCTGAAGCAGTTGAAGTTTGAGGTTTGGAAAGAAGCTTAATTTGTCATTATAGTATTAGATGTAAAGATGATTAAACTGTGATGTGAGCAGTGCACTGTGACAAACAAGTGTTTAAGTGTTTATATTTAGATTCTTTTATCATTTCAAATTATGTCATCCCAAACGTTTTTTAACACATAGGGTTTACTTAATTGTAGTCATCCGATGATCTGCATACTCAAAGCATGTAATCCACATGTATGTAATGAGCAATTACACATGAGAAGACAAGCATGAGAGGTGCATAATTTCAACATCAGCCCCACATGAAAAAAGTAGTTGGTTCAAGTTAGGGCTGGGCAATATATCGATATCGATATATCGATTGATATTGTGATATGAGATTAGATATCGTCAGTAAACACAGCTAAGGTTTAGTTAATATAATCTCCCTCAGCAACTGTTTCTCATAATATTTTCACCTGTGACATCACTGATTTCACAGAGACTACCTAGAACTGTTATGAGTTGTTTCTTCAGTGTGTGTGTTGAAAGTAAATGTTGTTTTTGTCTATTTTGTGTATAATCCCTTATTTACTGTTTTTGTGGTCATCTTGTTTGACTAAATATTGTGAAGGTGTCCAAACTTGAGGCTTTGGGTGTGGAAACGGCCATTTTGTCATTTGACCGCCATAAATCCAGCTTAGAGGTGTACCAGCTGAGCAGCAAAGGAGCAAAGGACACAGTCAACAACTTTGCACTCTACTTTAAAGGTGATTTTGGTTACATTAAAATCCACAAATAGACGTCTGTAGTAGTGCAAAGATACATAATACAGTTTTAGGAAATGAAATGTTGCCTGTTGTTTAATTTGCAGCCAGCTTCTCAGCCCCAACAGCTCCTCAGCCACAACGCCAACACCAAAGATCAAGCCGCAAAACCAAAGATCAAGTAGATGTGCTGGTTAAAAAAGTGCAGGATGTGTTCAACCAAAAATATAGTAAGCATGTTTTCTTTTTATAACAGTGTAAAGAAACTGCCTAGACTTATGTCTTGATAAGTTAATACGCCTCCATGAATCAGTGGCGTTACTGTCAAACTAATAAATGATTCATCTCATGTGTCCATCGACCATAAGATTATG